GGGAATTGAGTGTAACTGAATACCAATGTCAGAGTGTGTGTGTGTGTTTGTGTGTGTGTGAGACTTCTGCAGCTGCTGGCATTTCTAGACGTCTCCAGACTACATTAGCACATTTGACTACATTCACCAGCTGCAAAAAATCTTGGGGATGGACTTGTCAGCACCATGCTGCTAGGCTTCACAGCGAAGGCGGCATCCATTTTTGCTAGGTTTCTTTGATGTCCTGCTGTACGGTAACCAAACTTGCCACTGATTTTCACATGCCTTGCATACCTTCTTTGGAGAGGAGTTTCTGATTCTGGGTGCATGTTCGTTGGGCTTGATTGGATCCAAAGGGTGTGGCTGCGGCAATCAATAATATGCGTGTGTAAATAGACATAAGGAGACCTCCCAGTTCGACGCCCTGGAAGGGCCTAGGGAGTCTCCTAGTAAAATGCATGGCACACCCATAACCCATATCAATCCATATCGTATCTTCCGAACATATGCGACTCCTACAACTTTTAGAGACCCCCTTCTGCGCACAAACCGGCCCTCGGGCCATGATGCCGCCGCTGGCCACCCTCCAGTTCGTACACGTCCCATGCCCCGAAACGTCAGTTTGCAGAGCGCTTGAGGGAGTGGATTGTGTTTTAAAGAGGCGTGGTTGTGCAGTTGTGCTAAGCCACCAAAGTCTGATTTTTTGGGTTCCCTGGCCTCTCAGATAGATAGAAAACCCCAATCCCGCCCTCAAATTCTTGGAGCTCCTCCAAGAACCTGGGTGTCCTGTCTGTTGTGGCTCCACTAGATCCCCCAAAACAAAAAACACAACAAATTCAGATAGACTTGGCATATTTGAGGTACACCATGGCCCTCAACTGCGTGTGCCCAAGGGGGCAGCTCATACCCAAAAAAGACTTCGCACACACGACGACACTCCCGCTCCTGTCCCGCGAGCTTCTGGTCGCACGATTTTTTGGGGCACCGGTTTGCAGTCCAGACCGGTCGGCACTCGTGGACCGCAACAGGCTATTTCCCTTGACGCCGTGTCTCCGGGAGGCATCTGCGCGCTGCATGACATTGTGCAAGAGCTTGAAGAACAACTGACCCCGTCGGGCATTGCCGCCACCTAAGTCTGTCAAGACCCGCCTCACTAGCGAAACAGCAGATTCTAGACTGCCACCATGGTGATAGGTAGAACTCGCTTAGACATGCTTAGACGTGTTTCTTTTCCTCGACCATCGTATCATCAGGCCAAGGCTCACAGTTGCACACATCGGGATTCGGTGAAGCGAACCAGCATCTGCCCAGTCGTGTTGCTTGGCAGGCCATTCAGCACCTCCGCAAAGTCACCCTTCAGTTCTGCAATCCAGGCCTCAAAACCGACCAAACCAGCATCCGGTCGCATCCACAAGAAGGGATTCGTGGAAGATGAGCAGGAGTTGTCACCAAATGAATCCCGGAAGAAATGAAACTGCAAAAAACATCAAAAAACTAGAGCATCTTCGTTGGAAAGTTGAGTTTGGGAAGGACAACAGAACTGTCATGCATCCAGGGATGTTCAAGGCTAGGCTTGTTCAATTGATGGCGCAACCAGCACCACCCGCAAGTTGTGACCCTCTTTTTCAACGAACGACGTGTGTACTTGAGAATCAAACAACTCCTCAAACCATTCCAAGACTGAACCGCCAGAGACGTCAGCTGATTGCAGATGGGACACCCTCACCTGTTCCTGAGAGGCAGGCATTCCATAGAACAGTTGCTTTCTCAACCAATGCGTTTCTGAATCAAGAACCTGGCCTCCACATCTTTTCAAGGATTAAATTTCAATATGAACAGAAATCAGTTGTCTAGTAGGTAGGTTGGAGGCCATCCCGGATGTAGGTTAGGAGTAGCTCATTTCAACCCATCTCTGACCTCGGCTCCAAGAGTCCGGATTCCATTGGCTCGGGTGGACTTCAGGCTGACCACGATGCTCCCGGAGAAGGTCAACCAGTGGCTCCTGAGGATCAAGGCAGGCTTCCGTGGTCGTGTCGCTTAGTACCGTTAGGGTGGTGTGTGATGGCGCTCAAGATTCTGCTCCATGAACGGCTGATTGCTCACGATCACCCCACCGGCCCCACAGTCACAAGTCAGGCAGATCCTTCTCTTCGGTATCGCTGAAGCCCGCCAAGGCAGCACCCAATCGCAAGGTACTGATGCTATGCTCCGTGTCTGTGGCGCAAGGGGAGGCAGTGCAGATCACAGCCAGCCTCGCAGCGGCTGGAAGAAGTGTGGTGGGCCTACCTACCGGACACAGAAAGGAGCAGAATCGACATTTAAAGCTTGTGAAGCATCATGGCACAATATGTAATGGCCTCCCTCTGTCACCACAAATGAAAGCATCAGCCAGAACTTTGGTCAAGGAAGAGGTTCGATAAACGTGCGACCTAAGCATTGGTTGTGGCGGGTTTGAGCACTTTTGGGCTACGCACACAGCCAAATGGGCTTCTAAATGCATCTATATAGAATTCATTAGAATTCTATAAATATGGTTATCCTATGTTGTCCTCAAAAGACCCTTGAAGCGATAAAGGCATATGCAGCATGGCATCTTACCCTTTCATCTGAGGAGAGCACGGCACCTTCTGTTGAGAGGAGAGTGCCCGAATACAATCTTTGAGGGATGAAAGCCTCAAAACAGCATGAGGTCACTCAATCAAGCACGTCACTCTGTGAACCAAACGGACCTAAGAAACAGCCCTTAGTTGAAGTTGCACTGAATCAATATTGTTCGAGCCAAGCCATTGAATTGCATGTTGGAATGTTGCACAGCTCACGGACACTACAGTCAAGCGACGAGGTATTAATTTCAGCGCTCTCCTGCTGTCTCTCCTTGGTGTGGTACATTGAGTCCTCGCTGCGACTTTCGCTGTGCGCGTCTGCGCGCGGGCATCGTCTCGTACAACATGAAATCATGAAACGTCTCTTGGATCCAACCTTTTGTCTACTAGTAACAAGGTGCATCGCTACTAGTAACAAGGTGCATCGCTA